ATCAGAGATGCTCAGGCGTAAGTGGATCCACAGCCCTAAAAACTGGCTGCTGGGATTTGTCTCTGTTTGCTCTGTCTTGCCTGTCATGGCCACATCCTGAGGCTGGGTCTATTCTCACATGCTCTTGCATCTCACCAGCTGAGCAATCCAAAAGAAACAAGATGTCTCTCCATCAACAGTTCTAGCAGTTGTTTCGGGGCTGGTTTTGCAATGGTCTATTCAGTGCATATGCAGCTGGACACATTTTAGTGGACAGAGAGTAGAATTCATTAGCTTAGGTCTGGGCCACCTTTCCATCCTCCAACAAATATGGAAGAAGAGCAAAGTTCTAGCTTTTTGCTACCATAAGAAAAATACCCAAGACAAGCCATTTATAATGGGAGACTGATTTGGTTTCTTCTTTTAGAGGTTCACAGTTCAAGATTGAGTGACTTCGTCGCTTGAGCATCTGGTGTAGTGCCAACATAGAAAGGAAACAGAGTGGCTGGGCCCATGAGAATTATGGTCTGAGTGCATGTCCCCCAGTGATCCAAGGATCTCCTACTAGGCCTGTCTCTTAATCACCATAATTGTATAGTTTTCCCCTTCTTAGAACCATTAACACAAGACTTTGGCGCTTAGTGCTAAACAAACAAACCACTGGAGAGACACTACTAGTGGCATACACACCATTGCAACCAACTTCACCCTAACCCATGTTGACTGGGAGTTGGGTAAGAGAGTGAATCTTTAGAGTAAATCAAGGGTGCTAAAATCAGAAGGATGGGCAGGTGGTAGAAAGCGACAAAAAATAGCAGATAGACTCACTGTGGGAAGCAGGGGTGTAATACCATACCGTTTAGAGCCTTTTAGCTGTGTTTGACAGTTCAGCAAATTAAAATCCATCTATTTGCCAAGCACTGCAAGAACACAGAGATGAGCACCAGGGTTCCCAGGTCCTAAAGAACTTACATTTTAGGAGAGGAGCAGGGCTGGTAAGCATACAAGTAGTTAAAATTTAAAAAAAAACATAGAAAGTGATAAATACTGTGAAAAAAAAGATCCAACAGTGTCATGAGATATGACCCATATCAGGAGAGAAAGAATCGCTTTTTAGGGAGCATGGCTGGGCAAGGGGATTCCAAGGAGGTGATTTTTAAATTTAATTGACATAAAACCTGTACTTACTTATGGAGTACCATGTTTTGATACTTGCATGCATTGTACAATTTCACTCCAGGGTAAATGGACCAAGTTCCTCAAACGTTTATCATTCCTTCGTGGTGGAAAGTTTCAAAATCCTTTCTTCTAACTTTTTCTAAATCTACGGTACATTATTATGGCCTCTAGACATCAGCTGCGCAGTAAAACACCAGAACTCGTTTCTGAGTTAGTTCTTAGCAACTCAGCCCAGCAGCCATCCGCTTTTTCTCCATCCCTCCTCTTTCCCCCTGTTCTCCTCGGGCTCTGGTAGCTACTCTTCTACTCTCAAGTTGGATGAGATCTACTGTTTCAGGTTCCATGTCTGAGCAGCATCCTGCAATATCTGTTTTTCCGTCCCTGGCTTCCTTCATGTGATAACCTCCAGTTCTATCTTTGTTGTGGCGAATGATAGAATTTCATCCTTTTTGGAGTTGGGCTATATTCTATTGTGTCATCACATTGTCAGTCGAGAGGTACTTAAGTTGTTTCTGTTTCCCAGCTATTGTGAATAATGCTGTAATCAACATGGGAGTGCAGACAGCTCTTCAATGTGTTGATTTCATGGGAGGGGAGTGGATATATTCACAGTAGTGTATTTCCTGCACAGTATGATAGTTAGATATATTTTTAGTTTTTATTTGAGTTTTGTTGTTGCTGTTGTTTTTATTTGAACAGTAGAGTTACAGAAAGGAGAGACATGGAGAGGGGTCCTCTAATTGCTTGTGCATTTCTCAAATGGCTACACTGGCCAGAGCTGAACCAATCCAAAACTAGGAGCCAGAAACCTCCTCCAGGTCTCACACATGGGAGCAAGGTACCAAGGACCTGAGCCATCCCTTACTGCTTTCCCAGATCATAAGTGGGAAGCTCGGATCAGAAGTGGAACAGCTAGGACATAAACCAGCACCCATATGAGATGCTGGCACTACAGGCAGAGGTGTAGCAAGGCAGTGCCATGGCATTGGTTGTTTTTAAGAAGGTGATTTTGAGTGGAGGCAGGTCAATGATGAGGGAATCAGATCCAAAGAGGAAAGTGTTTCTAAGAAATTTTCAACTTGCTGAAGAACAGAGAGGATAGCATGGCAACATTTAACGCAAAAGCGAAAACCTCATAGGAGACAAGGTCAGGAAACAAGCCGGGGCTGGATCACACAGACCTGGCTGGTGAGGGTGAACAAAGTTTGGATGTTAGTCTTACATGAGGCACAGCCATTGCACACTTCTCAGCAGGGGTGTAAGAGGGTCGTATTTGTAGTTTGGAAATCTCACTCTTACTCTGAAGTAGATAACGAGTTCTACAGGGGCAACAGTCAAGGCCCAGAGGCTAATTAGAAGATGGTGCCATTTGCTCAGGCTGGAGATATTCGTGTCTTCTATGCTTAAAACTCTTGACTTGTTCCTGCAGGCCCTGGGAAATAAGGAAAGGTTTGATGCATGGGAGTAACATGATCAGATTTGGAGGGAGGCGGGGAGGTTAGTGGTACAGTGATGCCTGGGTCCCGCGCCAAGGAATCGAAATCACAGCAGATCATAGCCCTAAGGTGCCAAGTTTCTACAGAGAGTGCATTTTACTTCCCACCCAGAAGGCTGAGGTGCCAGAGTGAGGGGGGCAAGGAACTGGCTTTTCTTCCAGACCTGACCACAGACAGCCATCTCAGGGTAAAGACCCTCAGAGGATGCCCTGCAGAAACTTCACCAGAATCATTAGAAAGAATCTTCATTCAGCTTCTAATCCAAATGCATCTGGGGAGGGAGCATCCTGAACCTGTGCCAGGCTCGGTACTGGTTACTCAGCAGTTACTAGTGGAGAAGACAAGACTGAAGGTGACACTGGGTGGGGTTCAAGTCCAATCCCCTTGCTGTGTGACCTTGAGAAAATGACTTCGCCTTTCTGAGTCACTCTAGACTCATAAATAAATTAGGGTTAGCCATAGGGCCTGTCTCCATCCAATAGGAACTTCCTATTTCATAATGAGGATTGCATATGATAATACACATAAGTGCTTAACCCAGGGCCAGGCACGTATTAAGTGCTCGATAAATGTCAGGCTTGCAGCTATAAATAAAACTATGATGCCAGAGAAGCTGGCTCTCTTAATGAGATTTGTTTTAATCTGCCACCTTCAGAATAACAAATGGCCGACGACTATGTGGTTCATCAGTTTCACTGCGACTTCAGGCACGAGGAAAACAAAATGGCCCAAGAGGTGATGAGAGATGCAAAAGGGGCCTTTATAGAAAGATGAGAGAAATACCTTAATAGATGATTAAGAGCATTAAAGTCACTGTGAAAGTTCTCCAACGGACAGAGAAACAGGAGGTCATGTGGGGCTTTTCCTGTTGGCCTAGAACAGTGGCCAATGTCTCCAAGCTGAGAACAGTGAGGATGAAATATTCCCACGCAAGAGCCAGGTTGCTGCCAAGTGACTCCCCAGAGCCTAAAGAGAGCTGCTCAAACAGAGCCTGCCACCCTCATTGCCAATGAGGCCTAGGTAAGTAAGAAGCTTGTTCCCCATCAAGCCAAGGAGAAGACAGCTCATTGGCAAGACACCTGCAAGAGGAAAGAGGCCGGCTGCACTGTCAGATTCTCTAGGTCGGCATCTGGAGCAAAGCAGCTGTCGGAGCAGACCACTATGGAGGAGTACCAGGGAGAAATGAGTGCTGTCTGGGTATGGGGGACACACGTGAACTCTGGGACATGGAGACTGGGGAGATGGGATGGCTGGGACAGCTCTACAGTGTGACCCAGGCAAACAGCGCATCCAGAAGGCAGTCTCTGCCCCGCCCCTGGGGGGGAGGTAGCAAAGAGGCACTGACTACCACGTGGTCCGGAGGAGAGGAACTGGGTTCCAGTGGTCTTGTAACTCTGGCCAGGAAAGAACAACATCAGGACGCTAGCTGTGCTACAAGCTGAAGGATGAAAGTAAAACTGCCGACGGTGCCATCTAAGTGGGAAGAGTGTCACTTCTGTTTTTGAAAGGGATTTATTTACTTATTTATTTATTTAAAGGCAGGTAGAAGCAGGCGAGAGAGAGAAGGGGGAGAGAGAGAGAGATCAGCCACTAATTCACTCCCCAAGTGGCTGCAACAGCTAAGTTTAGGCCAGGCTGAAAGAAGCTGGGAGCCAGTACGTGGGTGACAGGAACTCAGGCAGTTGGGCCATCTTCTATTTTCCTTTCCAGACACATTAACAGGAAGCTGGTTCAGAAGTAGAACGGTTGTGGTTCATAAGTGCTCTGATGTGGGATGAGTAGCAAGAGGTAGTTTAACTTACTGTGCCACAACACTGGCCCCAACTGTCCCCTCTTACTGTTGACCATCACCATTCCCAAGCCCCCACCTCCATCTCAGCCACTGGAGTAGGAGGGGAAGAAGATCATGGCTCTGACAGACTGCTCCTTCTCCCATGGAGAGATCTTCAACCTGCAAGTAAAGCTGGGACCAGTGGAAAGAAAGGCTTCGAAATGAGTGTGAGATTATAGCTCTGAGTTTGACTTAAACTTTGAAGCTCTTATCATTAAGAAACCTTTTCAAGCCTGTAGAAAAGTGGACAGAGATGTGAATGCATGAGCAGCCCTGGGTCCACAAACAGCCGTGAGTTGTGGACCTGTGCCAATCGGTTTCATTTCCATGCCCCCTTACCTTGTCCTCCCTACTGGAACCATCGGGGACCAGTCTACGACAGGGTCAAGCTTCCATACTGGACTAGCTAATCCTGATGATCAAACTACAGCTCCTGACGTGGAAACTGAGCAGAAGACCCTGCATTCTTCCTGTTGGCCATTTTTAAAATTTCTCTTTTAAAAAAAAAAAAGCAAAAATGCTACAGGTCTCATTGTCAGCACTGCCGTTTATTTACTGTGATGGACGCATAACCTGCAACTCCATTCAGCCACAGTGACTTTGTTGGACACGACGATTCACAGCGTTCATTCTCACGCAGCTCATTTCTGTGCTCTCCAAAGTTCTGGAAGGGCAGAAAATATTTCTATTTTATTTATTGCTCCAAGCCTCCAATGTATAATAATGCTTGCCATTTGGCAAGTTTTTGCTGCAGCAATGAATGAAGGATTTGTTCAAAATAGTCCACTCTTCCTTTACCATATCATCTGAGACGTGCTCAGACTGAGGGAAAAGATGAAAATCTTCCTGTTACTTGATTGGTTTGCCTCCAGACTGACCCCAGGTGGTTCAGGAAAATGGCCTGGAAAGATGGACTTAGGTAATGGTCTCTTCAGAGAAATCATTTTTTTCCGTGATGCCAGTACTTGTTGTGGAGGTCGCCGGCCGCTGCCGTCTTCTGCACGTGGAGCGGAAGAACTTGCCCAGCAGTCTCTCACTCAGCCCACCTCAGTTCACAATTCACTCTTGTTAAACCTGGCCGTGGACCTACAATCCCTACTAGGAATGGGTCAGCGGAGAGCGGCATATCTCTCCTTTGGTGCAGCGTGCTTGTTTCTTGCTTTTTGTTTTTTCCTTTTTTAAAAGATTTTTTTTAAATATTTTGAAAAGAATTTTTTTTTTTTTTTGGAATGCAGAGTTGCAGAGAGAGATCTTCCATCTGCCAGTTCACTTCCTAAAATGGCCACAGTGGCCTGAGGTGAGTCGATCCACAACCGGCAGCTTCTTCAATGTCTCAAGGTTTTGGACCATCACGTGTTGATTTCCCAGGCCACAGACAGGGAGCTGGATGGGAAATGGAGCAGCTGGGACAGGAACCTGTGCCCATATGGGCTGCCAGTGCTGCAGGCAGAAGTTTAGCTTGCTGTCCCCATGGTGCTGGCCCCCCATTTGCTTGTTTTGTCTGCTCCCACTGCTCCTCGGAAAGGGAACTCCATAAAGGCTAGAGTGTCTGATTTTTGTTAAGGAGAATAATTTAACCAGGAGTTTGGCTAAAATCACAGCGATTTAAGGTCACTTGTCGCTGTTGAAACCCAGGTTGGATCCCAGAGGTTATGCCTTTTTTTTCTATTCCCCCACTTCACACAGCCAGACACCAGAAGTTCTGTATTCTTTCCTAACACCCCACACAGAGTCACTGAACACCTTCTGTATCCTGACGCTCCTCTTCATTTTTTTGGCCTATGTATGTTGTCTTATAACAGCACAATTCCATCAAAATTGGCTAAATTATCACCCCCACCCGCTCTTTTATTCTTGGTGATGATTTCTTTCTCTGTAACCCAACACATCTTTCTTACACTAACTGAGGTTGGTTGGTTGGTTGGTTGGTTTCCTGGATTGGCCCTATGTACCCACCAAAGGTCCATTTTAGAATTTTGCCTCATCCACATTGCATTAAGTATAAATATTTTAAGGTCTCAAGTATATGGATGGCAGCTTCCATCACTGAATCAGACACAGCTTCATTTCCAGCACAGTGTCTCCTTGGGACCCCCACGGATGCCTGAAACCATGAAGAAGAGTGTTCTCATTTCTAGTCTGTTTTTCCCTAGACACACACACACACACACCAGTGATAAAGTTTAACTTACAGGTTAGACTCAGAGAGTTGAATGATAACTACTTTAAAAAGACAAAAATTACACAATGTGCAGTGACAGGTGTTGTAGGAATGTGGTCTCCCGTGGGCTCAGAATATCTTTATAGTCTACTCTTCGTTCTTGTGATGACATGAGACAATCCTAGGGGACAGTCGACTGTGAGTATCTGAACCCATGGCTGGGGGGACTACTTGTGTGTGTGTGCATGCAAGCAGGTGTATATCTCTGCTTGTACATCCAGGACTTAAATTCATGTATGGATGTCTACATATATATGAATATGAAACAGGGGAACCCAGGGAAGTAGAGTCACAGGTCGGATACCTGTGTGCAAGTGCTCACTTGTCAGAATGTTGAATTGTTAGTTTTAATGAACTTTTTAATGACTTCCCAGTCTTTCATCAATCTGGAGTTCACACTGATGTATAGTTTGAAGATTTAATTTTGTTTTATTTATTCTCACATATTAATTCATTGTCTCTGCATCATTTGCCAAGTCTTTTCTCTTTCTTCACTACCACGATTGGATAAAATCAAGTGTGGAAAAGATTGTCTCGGGGCTATCTGCTCCAGTGCATGGACTCTTGTAATCACTGTAACATAGATCATATTGATCTGTGCTACAATATTTATGTACCTTGCTATTTTAATCTAGGAAACATTACAGTCCCTTTTTAACATTTATATTCAGAACGTTCCCTAATCAGTCTCAGTCTCAAATTGCTCTTGGTTGCTTTGCCTATTCAGTCTTCCAGGTGAATTTTAGAGTCACTTTGTCAAATCCTCCCATCAAAGGAAAACAAATATCACAAAATTAAACTAATTGGGAGGGATATTTTTTTTTCATTAGAAATCTATGTATTTCTTTAGAAAGGAATTATATCATTCAATAGTCATTCTTTGATTTTGCGTATTCAATCTTCCAGTAAATTCTCTTGGTGACCTTTTATTATTTCTTTATATATGATCTGTATGCTTCTAATTGCAGCTACCTCTTTTGATGCTTGTTCTAGAAGGCAGGAAATTGAGCATTCCTGAGTTCATACAGCTGGCAAGTGGCAAAGACGGGGATTGAAACTACATCCTTCTGACACAAAGCCTGCCGTCTCCATCACTCTGCTTGGTTTTTCACATTATGTCACACCCTGACTCAGTGTTCAATAGTTATTTTGAAGAAAAGCATTGAAAATTTCATCTAGATTTTCTAGCAGCTCCACATTGTATCATTACCTTCTTTTCTAAATTCTTGCATCAGAATATTTGTCATTTAATTTCCTTCTCCTTTCCTTTATAAAAAGTTGTATTTGTTTGAAAAGTAGAGTTACAGTCACATACAGACAGACAGAGAGAGGTCTTCCATATGCTGGTTCACTCCTCAAATGGCCACAACTACTGGGGCTGGGACAGACCAAAATCAGAAGCCATGAGCTTCTTGGGGTCTCCCGTGTGGACACAGGAACCCAACCACTTGGGCCATCCTCTGCTACTTTCCCAGGTGCATTAGCGGAGATCTGGATGAGTGAATGGAAGCCTTGACGACTGCCTTCATCTTTCCAAGGGCCCACCTACTCACCCTTCCTTCGCTCAGAACCGTGTTGCTCTGGTTCACTTGCTTTGCTGCCCTGCTGGCCTGCAGCTGCTGGCGCAGGAAGCTGAGCACTTCAGGACCCACACAGCTTTGGACCGAGAGAAAGCAAGCTCACCTCCTGATCCTGGGAACTGCCTGTTCAGCTGAATGGAACCATACGACCCTCCATCAGCACTGAAGCACATCTCCCATCCACCTTTATCTGATCCCTGGAACTTTGAGAAAGGACCATTTTTAGAAGTTGACTGAATCATGTCCCTACTGTATATTTTTAAAATTTTCCAATTTTTAACATCCACATTCTTCACCTTGACCAACAAGCCCCTGTGGTGTCTGTCTGCAGCCTCCCTCTTTGATTTTATTTCATCATCTGTATTTTTTTGTTCACTTTCATGCACCCCTGCCTTTGCTGGGTTCTTGCAGGTGTTCATCCCTGCTCTGATTGTCAGCTTTCCTCTCGGGCTTTCTGCTGTCTGAGACGCTCTCCAAGAACACCTGATGCTAAGGGACTTTACACTAAGTCCCTTAACAAGGTCATTTCCTCAGCGAGGCAGTGGCTGACCCCAGAAAAGAAAGCAGTCCTTAATGACCATGAACCTGGTCACTGCATTTAATCCCAGCAAGAATCACATTAGCAATACTGCTCTTTATTACCGTGGTCTGAACAAGGGTGGTCCTCCAACCAAATATGTATGCCAGCGCATACATAGTTGGAGGTTTAGATGAAGTCGTGTGAGGTCCCTGTGATGGAATTAGTGTCTTTATAAGAGGAAGTGTAATGAGAATGTTCTATCTTCATCACATGAAATATGGTAAGCTGGGCATCTGTAAGCTGGACACAGAGCCCTCACTGGGAAAACACGTTAGCCAACATCTTGATCTTGAACCTCTGGTCTCTGGAACTGAGAAAACAAATTCCTATTGCATGTTCAGAAATGTATTTATTTCTTTATTTTCATATTATTTGAAAGGCAGATTGCTTCATTCCCTAAATGCCCAGAACAGCTACACCTGGGCCAAATTGAAGCCAGGAAGCCCACTTTGAGTCTGCCACATGGGCAGCAAGTACCCAAGTCCATTAACTATCATCGACTTTGTTCCATGTTGCACATTAGTGAGCAAACTGGAGTGGGAGTGCAGGGGTTTGTACTAGAACCAGGCAACTCAAGTGGCACCTTAACTGAACATCAAATGCCCTCCTCGAAATTACTGTTGTTAAAATCACAATCTGGCATCTCGCTAGAGAAAACTGAGAAGACTAACGCATTTGTCACCCATAAGGTGACAGCATAAAAACACCCATGACACGGAGTTCTTAGGGCCTGGCACAGCAAGCAGCACTGTTAGGGGTACCATAAATGCCTTGAATCTGTGAACCAATGAAAACCCTACCCTTGTTGCATCTGGACTATTTAACTCCTTGAACTCTGCTACAACACCCCCACAGAACTGTTTTGAGAAAAAGAAAGTGGAGCCATGCAAGCAAAGTCCTTTTAATTCTCTGTATGGCACATTCAAAGATCTCAGGAAACGGTAGCATGAAGCACCACCACATCATGGCCATTGTCATTCTCCTCCTCTTGATTGTGCAAATGTAAGAGCATGATCAGAAAGGCCGGGGGAAGGTTTCCCAGACAAAGTTTCATGTGGGTGAAGTCTACTCAGCAGGAAGTCAAGCAGCTCGCTTGTAATTTAATTTTTGCAATATTCCAGGACCTGAAGGTAGGCCTTTCCTTACAGGAATGAATTCATGCTAACTGCTCCTAACAGTAATCATTTGTTACCGTCTCCCAAGATTCTGAGAACAGATGGGGCTCAATCCAGAAACCCTCACTGGCTGCAGATGGACGGTG